TTTTTTTTTTTTAAGGGGTGTGTGTGTATACAGGGGAGAGAGAGAGAGAGCAACCTCAGCAATGGATCCCCTTAACATGACTCAGATGGCCCATGCAGGCTATCTGAAGGGTCCTCGCAGCCATGTAGTGCAATTCCCCCCCCAAATCGAGGCAGGCAGCGCATATAAAGTAGAGCATGAGCTGGCCGAATATATACTCAAGATTTGAGTACAGGTCTGTGTTTCAACAGTTTTAAGTTGCTCGCGTAGCTAGGCCCTGTTGGTCTCTGCACGTGACTCTTAGGGCTTGGATGCACTACTCACGAAATCTGCAAAATTATAATGAACTTCTGCAAAATGGGGAATGGTACACCACCATATGTTTTATCTTTTGTGCATTTGGCGAGTAGAGGCCCTTAGGGCCACTTCATGTATTCCTAAGAAAAGAAAAACGAGAAAAGAAAGAAAAACGAGAAAAGAAAAGAAAAACGAGAGAAGAAAAGAAAAACGAGAGAAGACAAGAAAAACGAGAAAACAGAGAAGTAGTGACCCATAATCGAGATGCAAAGACCTGAACTTGAATCTAGACTATATATTATTTGCCCGTGCTCACGAAGTATAAGTTTGAATTGTACCTCTGCATCACGTAAGGTCCTAGCTAGTACGTTCTAGGTATCCTACGGAAAAGAGGTTGGACCCAACGAGGACATGAATACTCAGGAGCGAGGGGAATGTTTGGCCACCGCGCACTGTCCTTTCAACTTTTTTATTTTTTTTATTTTTTTAATGCGTCGTCGCAAGTATGAAAAAAAAAACAAACAAAGAAAATCAAACCCCCCGTAGACTTTCCGGGTCGTCTGGATCGTCGGTGAGGGTGGTAAAAAATAAGGCACTATTTTTGGGGGGCGCCCCAGGGTGTGAATAAATGCCCCGGACCACCCCAAAAAAATTTGGCCATTGAGTTGGGGCCCTCACATCCGGACCAAGATCTGGACCCGGACCCCGGACCACAGACGGTCCGGATCCCTATTCGGTGGTCCGTATCCTTATCATGGTTTTATTTGATAAGTTCCCGTCTAAATATGATTTTTTCATTCCTATTTAATCTACTTGTTTAAGATGGAATGAAAGTCTGGACGAGTTTATGAAATGTTTTAATTAAATTTTTATTCTGCTACAATAAATATCTTCTAATTTAGATTGGATTAACCTATTTATGACTGAAAATCCTTATATTCCTGACTTAGAATGATAGTCCAATTAAAATATTTCATGAACTCATTTAGACTTCAATTCCATCTTTGGCGTGTAGTCCAAATACAAAGGGATACCCCATTCTTGGAATGAAAGTTTGCAAGTAAGATGAAAAATTTTAAAATTGGAATGACATTTTTTAAAATGGAATGAAAATTAAAAATTTAGAATGTAATTTTACTGTAGAATGATTATTTAACTTTGGGAATTTTTTTCGTTGATGCAACATGCCCCCTGTGCAGCATCGTGTTGGGGTTCAGTGACCGAACCCAAACGTTCGGGACCGAACGCAAACAAGCACCGAAACTTTCTGAATGCGAACATAAAAATATTAAAAAGACAAAAAGTTCTCCGAAAAATCTGAAAACAATATATGTTATGTAAAATAATGATACAAACAATTTTTGCCTTGGAAGTATGGTTAAATTCGTAACCACACTCGAGTTAAAAATCAAAAATATTTTTTATTTTTATTTTTTTTAAATATGTTTGGCCGAACACGTTCGGGTGGCGTTCGGCCGAACACCCAAACTTGTTCGGATGTTCCGAAAAGCTCCGAACATGTTCGGT